GCTTGCCTACTTTCAACTGGGTCTTTTGCACCGCAAACGTATTGATGTTGCTCTCTTCTTGAACGACTTTGACAAGAGCAAACTTGAACGATACCGTACACAAGCTATCATCAGTTTCAACGAGGCATTGCGGAGAATACGGTGGGATTCGAGCGACGATGCACCATATGCTACCACGATTTATCGTCATCTCGATGAATTAGAGTCGCAATATTCATCAACACCGAATGATGATGAATCACCTAAGGCATTGAAATATAACTATGGTAGAACCAAAGAAATACAGGGTTTACTTAGTCAATTCAATAAAATAATGGACCACTTCAACTCTCAGGCCGAACCGCGCGACACCTTATCTGACGAAGACAGTGACGAGTCCGAATATTTCTGAAATATGCGCACAACCAGCGCTACTTCATATTCTTTACGATTCTTAACTTTTGCTGTTTAGAAAACACGGTGCTATGTTTCAAAAATAAATGAACAAGAATTTTAATTTTCTCGACCGAAGTCGAGTATGCGACTTTGTACTCTTGTGAAACTTGATGTTGAAGGAACCTCTTGAGCAGTCTCATTGTTATAAGCATTCGTAACACACGCTCTCGCCCACTCTGAGCGCTATGTTTCTAGACGCTTATTGCAGTCGGTCGAGCTTGATGTGCTGCATCTACTGTATTCCATTTCGAGTTGCACTGAAAGCAATATTCGGAAGATAAGATTCAAAAACTATTTCAAGCGGTTCAGTCTGACCCGCTCTCATCCAAAAGCTCAAAACAAAATAAATCTTCGGATTTGAAACAATCTATGTTTCCATGTTATTTCTCTTAGCTAATCGAATTTCAGCAAATATTTTCTTTGCTATACTAAGGATCGAACACGGTATTGTTTGAGTCAAGTAGAAGTAATTCCAAATTCTCTCTTATATGGCTCAAACAGCAGAGTTCGACCCTTAGTATAATACAGAAAACACTTGCTCAAATAGGGTTAGCTGAAAGAGATAACATGGCAGCATAGGTTCTTTCAAAGTAGCTCTATAAAAGTTTATTGGGATCATCTCTACACCGGCCTTAAAAATTTATAGGACCATTTGACTTGATTTTCAGAAGATATACTTGGTTTCGAGCTTTTGGATGAGAGTCGCTGAGAGTAGGCCAGAGTGGATGTGGGTGTGGCTGAGTGATAACCTTCGTTACACCCACACCCTTGACATTGCATACGATTGTGTAAGATTGTTGGCGATGGTCGTATATAAGTCGTATTTCGTCGTATACGACACGACGATATACGGTCGTGATTCTGGCAGCAAGTAATACGGCGCAATACAGTCGGATATGTTCGTAATTTACGCTGAGGGTGAATGTGTGTGTGAGTAGTATTTTCTTCATCTACACCCACACCCTCGACAGTGAAATGTTTTGATATTGGCAAAGCCACTAAAGATTCTCTTTATCAGTTCGAAAAGATTCGAGAAAACTTTGTTAACGAAAAAAGAATACCGATCGAGCATGGTCTGAGTGTTCTTTTCACCCATCTCTATTAGTTCGCCTAACCTATATAATGATGAAGATCATTTTAAGCATTATCTTTTAAATGCACTTACATTTAGAGCCGAAAGAAGGCTAAGAATTTATTGAAATACTCACGCACGAAAGAAAATACGAAAAGAGGAGAGAGAGAGAGACAGAAAGAAAAAAAGATTGTTTGACCTTCTTATACAAGAATGAATAACACATAATTACTAGAATGAAGACGCGCACACAACAAAAATGAATAAAATAAGAAAATGTGTTGTTAGAGTGCTCTCTAACAGGTAAAAACAATGAAGTGTCTTAGCCCATTATTTGAACGAAATGATCAGTGCAGCTGGTAGATGCCAAAACCATGAGATCATTAGAGATCATCATCATCAGAGTCGGATAGTATCGTTACAAGCGTATAATACATACGGTTAATGTGAAAATGGCGAAGTTTAAGCAGACGTTTATGTAAAATGGGAACGAGTGAATCAACTGTCACTGGGTTCCGATTATTACAAATTCTGTTAATCGAAAAATAAATAACATTGGGTACAACAGAAAGTAATAAATCGATCGTTTGAGAGTTTATTAAACGAATATATTGAAAGTATAAATCCAATCGACGAAGTAATTGATGAGGCGTACAATCAAATGAACTAACCATGCACTTGTGATTTGTAAATTCGATGCACAATTGATCAAGAGATGGGCATGATTGAAGTATTTGGGTGTAGACGAGTATATCATCTGTAGAAATACACAATGAACGAAGAGACGAAACAATACTCCATTTATAATCCTTATTTAATTTAACTTGAGAAAGTTGACATGTGCGAAGATGAGGAAAATAATTGCCGAAAACAAAGATTAGACCATGGATTCTGGGCTTCAAAAATCATTGAAGAATGATTGGTAACGTACAAACGTTCAAGATTAGAAAGTCCCAAAATCGAATGGGATATACCACAATCTGGTTCTCCCGACAATTGAAATGAACGAATAGCATGAAATAAAGACAAATCAATGGGATCTGCGTAATCGACATCCACCATGGTTATACCAGAAGCAAAGAAACGAAAGGCAGGCAATAGAGCATCTTTATTCGATGCTAATTTGCCCCAGAGATTAGTAAGAGAAGCGAGAATCGATGTAAATCGAATATTGACGACCATAAAAACCGTTGTACAAATCTTGAACGCATAAATATTCAACAATTTCAATAAGAAGTTCGTTCGAAAAGTGTTCGAGCATTGAGATTGACGATATATAGTCACTCATTGTGTTCGTCAAATCAATTTGGCTCGTTCTAAAAGAACAAAACAGCACGTCAGAATAAAGTTTAACATATAACAATACAAGCAAAATAAAAGATGATTATTCTTTCGTTGTTATCTTTTCTTGTCGATTGATATATTATTAGCAAAATACAAACTGCCACGTCAGAGAAAAAGATATCAAACAAAAAGAAGATGGATTATCCAACGGATAACGCTCAACTATAATGAAGACGACAGAGGGCACTGCCAACAATATTCAAACGTGATCTCTAATCACTTGTAAGTGTAACGCACAAAGAGTGGAGATGTTATATTTCATTATCACTGCAGTATATATTTTATTATGATTAACACTGACAAACTGGAGGAGCAGCGTTACCATCACCCTCGGTATAGATGTTCACTACACTACTCCATCACATCAGCTGTGTCTGTTTCACACAGAACACAAGTTTATATATGAGAAAGGAATATAGAGAGAAGAGAGGAAAGGTTGAATAACAGTCAGAGTGAACAAGCAGCTACTATCGATCATGATGTCAGCGCATCTAGCCGCATAGTGGCCGATCGGGTGTGAGTGTGTGGATGTGGGTGTGAGCTTGCTGTTAGTGTTGGGATGGTTATGGTGTTAGGTAGATATGGGTGTATGTGAATGTAAATGTGGATGTATAATCTGATTCTCTTCCATTGCATCAACATCCTGTTCCATCCCATAAATTACAAACAAAGGTCTGACTTCGAGCCCACATTAAAATTCTGGCTATGTCACTACGTTGACGGTCTTTTCTTTAGCGATGCAGTATCAAGAATTTTTTGAGAATCAATGATTTCAGTGGGTCAGTAGTAAATATTTAACATTGTTTCGAGTATATACACCCTATAATTAAAAGTCTTTCCATATTCACTAATTTTCGCAATCCTCCGAAATATCACATAATTGAACAAAATCTGAGCGCACTTCTTAGTTGATGTATTATTTGTTGAATTCACTCTTCTTTGAGAAATATTTTGGCATCATGCGAAACTAAAGCATATGTCTCGAAACTGTGTGACGATATTCTTCTCAAGAGAAAACATTTTCTGAGAGAAATACTAGTCTAATAACACACTTCTCATTACGTATATGAATATCTGTATGTAGTTATGCACATAAATATGTGTAGAAACAGAAAAGCAAGAACGAAGTAAGAACTGACGTCATAGCACCATGCGTAATAACTATATGAATCATTTTTGTGTAGGATTGAAAAGGTACTTCCAAAACAAAAATCTGTCTTCCTTTAACTCGGTTGGAAAAAGCCATGTTTTATTTCTTGGTCGAAATAATTGTCAAATACCATATTTATATGAGAAACCCACTTTTTTGAAAGTATTTAAGCGTCTTTATGAATACGTAGTAATCTGTAGAGACTGTTACAGTTAATTATTGCGTAAAAGAGGTGGATGCGGGTGTATTATTTTCTGTTCTTGATAAGAATTTCGAGATAAGTATATGTTGTTCTGTTAACACCAACATCAATACGTTGAATATCGATTCGATCAAGATTTTTACAGATTTCCTTCTACGTGCAGAATGAAAGTTCTTCTTCGACATTGAGATTATCCAAGTATCTAATAATGATCTACTAAAATTATGTAGACCAATTAAAAGACAGTGGATGAATGCTTTTGCATCCTCTTAATGTATTCTAATCGTCAAGTATGATGGAAAAATCAGAACTTTCTATGTGAATGTCTTTGTTTTTTGCATCACATTTAAGCATCGTTTTTTATGAAGGCTTAATACTTGCGCTTGTATCATTTCAAACATCTGAACGAGGTAGAAAATTAAATACTGAAACAATATGTTCCAAGAATCATCGTATGCTATTATGATGAAAAAGTTGAAAAGAACATACTATTTTTTATCAACTATCATTATGAAAGAACAAAACTGGCATCGTGTCAATATTGCTCGATGTCGAACGGATTTCTTGCTCGAGACACTTTTCAAGGAGAAGCACTATTTGCTAAGTGTTGCTAAACTATTATCCATGATATTGTTTAATAAACTTAAGAAACCCTCGAAACACCGCATGACTTGAGTTTACTCGTATTTTCCTCTGCTGACAAAGTATTTTTGATACGTTGGTCGTCTCATCACAGGCAGACATTGATTACACCCGAAAATCATCGATTAATTATGTTGATATCATTTTTGTTATTGTTATGATTCTTTATTTTGGACAAGTATAAAAACACTAGCCAATAATGATTTTATCGAAAATAAAAGGCATCGATTTTTTAAATCTATTTTGAAAATAAAATTTAATTAGAAAGAAAATAATCTTTTGACTTATTGAGAAAAGTTTCTATTTAGCTAAAAAAATCGGATAAATACAAACGACTTGGCATGTTGTACATGAAAAGCTCTGCTTAAGAATCGCAAAAGCAACAAATCTTCGATATATGACTATAGTACACAAGCTGGTCGATATAATGTCATCAAAACTCACGGACTTCGGCTACTTCTAGGCTTGTTTGTTGAAGGATTCCTTTTGATGCAAAGCAACAACGTCATTCTTAAGTGGAAAAACAGAATAGGTATCATATTTTTTCATTGATGTCCCCAGATTTATTGCTCCATAACGATTTTTTTATAAAAAAAAAAGGTGTATATTTATTTGGTATTTTTAACTCTTTGAGCTTAATGTCCATATAGGATAGTTAGGGCGATACAAAAATATATGCCCCGGATGAGGATCGAACTCACGACCTTCAGATTATGAGACTGACGCTCTACCGACTGAGCCACCGCGGCGGCTAACGTTATTTTTTATGAAAAGAAATCGAATTAGGAAAAAAAAGTTTGTTGCATATCATGTTCCGATAGGAATAATCATGGCGGTTAAATCTTGAAATATTTTTCAACAAATGAAACCAAAAAAGTTCTTGTGTAAACATGTCCATTTTACGCCTATTTTCGACACATGACATAATCACAGTTTCATGTCTTGAAGATGCCAAACTTTTTCTTTTCTTGTATTCATTGTTTTGAATAAGGAAATAAACAAACAAAACAAAGCAACAGTTGGTTATACGTAGGAACTGTCTTTCGATTCGTTTGATATTTCTTGAGAACGAGAACAAAGTCATGTACAAAATTGCTGCTTATATTCGCATGTTTCACTTATTGTGAATTGTCAAGGAGACGAAGCTGGTTTTTTAAAACAACGACATCTTCTTGGGCTACTCTCTAGATAATACTATTTCAATTCTTACAGCATGATATCTATATTGAAAACTTTAAAAGAGATACCTTATTTCAACGCTCGGAATTATCCTGTAAATAATTTTCGCGTGAAAAATGGTTTTGATCATTTGAGTGAAATAAACTAGACTTATGTTCAAAAATTCAAAAACCATATTTCTGTACGAAATTCTCAACAATTTTTCTCTTGGTGAGCATACAATCGTTGCTTTTACTCGAAACCTTTATGGTTCACTTGTCTTCAGATATATAAAACTCTGAAAGTTTCATACAGAAATTATCAATATTATGTTTTATTGTAGAAAGTATTCCATAGAAAGCATGAGCAATGTTGGTAGCTACTCTGAACAACGCTATTTTGACATTTCGTCTGTAGCAATGAGTCAAAAACATCCTTGTATGGTTGCATATTGCTGGCAATTAACAAACGCAGTCATCTTTCATTTTCTTACTTCGTTTTTCTGCGCACATCACAACAGCCATTGATATGTTTGTTGTGCAAAAACATCCACTTTTCATGAGAAAAAAGCAAAGTGAGAGCATTTACATTAATCGAATTGCTTCGTTCTTTGTAACGATGGCTCGTGCAATAATAGACACTCTATATCCTTGACAAACGAGAAGGATGTGGGCGTGTGCATGTCAATCGTGGTTTTTTTTCTTCACTTACACCCACACTCTCTGCTATTAAAATAAAGGAAGTGATATTTACGCAAAAGAAAAAATGAAAAGAAAACTGTTGTACAAGATTTGCTTCAGACTTTGTCGTAAAGAGTTCAAAATACAGATATTGATTTGAAAGAATCTGTGAAACTAGAAGAAAAAAACTTTGCTTTCTTAAGCGAACTCGTTTTTTGATTTATAAGTAAATATCCCTCGTTAAGATACAAAAACTTGTATGAGCGGTCATAAAAACATATATTACGTTTTACTACTCCTGCTTACTAAACGTCAGTTTATTTGGTTCAGACAGGTTATTCTGAAATAGTCTACTAACATGTGAAACTGACACTTTGATTCTTCGAAAGAAGTATCAGACGCTGAAGTTTCGAGAACAAATCAATTTACGCGGAGATCTGAAAAGCCAGCCGTGCCATGACTGTTATGAAGTGAGAAGTAAGTTGAAAGTGACTAAAGTTATTTCATTAGTTTACTTTTACTGTTGTAAGACCTCTCGGTAATTTTAGAAGTTAGCGTTTTCTTCATCGAAAAATGTATTCTACAAGTCGCTTCGCCAAATAGTGTCTATGACACTACAGTAAGTGTAAACACAAGTCAGACCGTTCATGATTACTAGTTGAAAATTCTAATAGATAATGTGCCTATGATCCAAAACCAGAGTCCAAATATCTCCGATCTTTGTTTTTCAAACCCACTTGTAACGTTCGTTGTATTGAGCAAGAACTGTACATCAGTACAGTTAGTGCTTGTGACCATACAATTAAAATGAATTTGTATCTGATTAGAGTTCAATTCATAATCAAACACTGCAACCTTTCCAATTGCTCCTTTAAAAAACGATTGTAGTTGTCGAGTTCCAACGCGCATCGGTGCTGTGCCATTTTGTGGTATAATACCGTATCCTAATAATGGGTCTTGATCACGCTCAACTCCGTTCTTGAAAATTTTCGTATAACCAGTTGGATAAGTGCTACTAACATTAACTGTATTAATAGTGAGAGTATACAGAATCCATTGTCCAACGATAACGTTATCTTGAAAATAACTTCCAGCTCCTAAGCCTCCAGATAAGTTGAATGCATAACCACTAATACGATTAAGACGTCCTTCGGTGTTATTATAACTGTACATTCTTGCAGCCCAACTTTGCTGTTGTATGTTCCCTTTTCCCATCCACCAGACATAACCACTTCCTTCCTCATAGTCGAATTGTAGTGTATCAGGTCGAAACCATGCTTCTATAGTGAGAATACCAGTTCGGACAATTTCCAAATAATCATTGTCGCCTATAGTGAAATATTGATTAATTCCATTAAACACACTTGCAGTATCATTATTTGGCATTATTGTGGCAGAAGGATTGTTCGTAAACGCTCCGTTTAAATTGTGAACTGAATAGTCATTTGGGATACTAGGATCGAGAGGCCAGTATGCGACTGGCAAATGTGTCAGAACAGTTTTGTCATAGCTGGAGAGCGTATTAGCAGTATTAAAGAGAAAAGAAATGAATAGAAAATCCAGTAAATATAATGAAAGAAGCCAAGTAGTTGCATGATACATTATTACGAAAATTTGAAGTTTATGACGCCAATGAATTGGAAAAGAATTCAAAATTTTTGTATTTTATTAAAAACATTTTGTGAAATCTACAAAATATATTTGAGTTTACTAAACATCCCAAGCTCAATTAACCTATAGTAGAATCTATAGAAATTTATCACAATTACTAAGCTTCAATAAGATCTATAAAAGGTTACCATTGTCATTTTCCCAGTTGAATGGACATGAGCATTTTTTGAATGATTTTAATATAACACGACAGAAAGCGTTTGAGCTTTTGGCTCTATCTAGAGTCGATATTCCATCATCTTTTTACAAAATCGACGAAAAACCGAGTGTCTTTCGTCTTCGAGACATTATGATTTTATCGAAGACAAATCCCCAGGACAAACAATCATATGGTAAGGTCTTACCAGGCCCTACCTATGATCTTCTATGATTTTTTAAGATCAAGCATATATCGTACGAAAAATCCTAGTGTCTACAAAGCTTACATAAAGTCTTAGCATATGATTCTTTCAAGATCTGACTGCTTTATAGTGTCTTAATACAATCTTTCGAAGAGATGATAAAAGATCGTATGTCAAGACTCGATGGAAATTTTGCAGACAACACGATTTTTCGTACATTTTTCATAAGATTTCGTCGGTTCCACAAGATCTTATATCTGATTTTTTTAGCTTGGGTCATCAAAAATTTTCAAAATCTGAGTAACTGACAAATATTTCCTTATGTAAGTTTCTAGCTCTCCTTGGCTCTGTGTTATTCTGTATGCTTCTACACTGTAAAAAAAAATGATACGAATAGTAAATCTTTAAAGGCTTTCTTGAAGTACAATATATAAAAAGACCCCTTTTTACCTTTTATGAACTCTTTCTCAACCCTTTTCATAAACTCTCTAGAAAGGATTTATAATATTCATAACCTCTTACAGAATTTATTATATATTTCAGTTTCATCGACCACTTGTAAGTGTACATGAACTTTATAAATGCTTGAAAATAAACTTAAAGACGATTATCAAAAGGGTATATAGAAGAGTTCATGAGAATCCTGAATGTTACCATGCCTCTCGATGTGGAAGGGAATAGGATTGGCCTGCCACCACTTTTCAGAAATGTCTACGAAAATTTTCGTAGTAGCTATGTACCAAATATTTTACACAATCCCCGACTTCTGGTACATTAGGCAGACAATCTGTGGTGTCTATCAGATCTCACAAACTTGATAGCCTGTCTATGGTTTCTACTAAACCGATCACACAGTCTGTGGATTTGACAAAGCTCACAGACACAATAGAACCTGCATCGAATACGAAGCTAACCTTTAGTAAACTTTGCCTCCTTTAGAGGCAAGCTAAGTTGTCGTTTTATGGAACCAGACTACAACCGACTGTGATTTTTAAAATTAAGCTTTAAAAGCATCTAACAGTCACTAGTATAGCCGCCTTTAGTTACAAAAATATTGAGCAACGTATTTGCATTGAATATCAAAAGGTTTTTTCTGGAAGCTGTGAAGAAAAGTATCACTCTTAGAAGTCTGAAAAAAATTTTCGCTCTCTGAGATACTGCCTTTGATTCTGTACTAGTTAGTGAAATTTACTAAAGTCCATGTTTGACATGAAATTAGATTTCTTGCAAAAAGGCTTTCGTGCAATCTTCAAATTGGAAAAAATGTTATATTGTATCTGCTTAAAATAATTCCTTATCTCTTGTCTCCATCACTTCTTCCCATTTGACTTTCCAACTGTGTCTGCGAAAAAGGTTTAGCATCTCTCACTCATGTCACTTCCGAAAACTATGGAAAGCCTTGAATCTTACTAAAGACTCATGAGTACCATCAACCAATCAAGCGTTTATAAGGAATCGTAACCCATGTAAGAGTTTATGATCCCTATAAAAGACTGTCAACACGATAATTAAACTTAAGAAGGTTCCTGAAGTGGTTAAACAACAGTTTTTATTCGATGAACTTGGCAAACCTGACGAAAAAGTTACCTGACCGATAGTTATAATCCAAAAACACAGCAAATAGCCGATAGCATTCAATCATTGTTTATGAGCAGTAATGCAAAAAAACCAAACAATTTCATTCTATCGATCTCATAAGCTGCGAAAAAAACTGTTATAATGATTAAACTAAAAAAAACGTAAAGTACAGTCAATTCTTTGATCTCATTTCTGTCATAAGATGCTCGTTAGCTGTCAAGAGAAATGAATGATGAAGACAAAAAATCAATAAATAAAACTAACTTATTTGATTTCTCTCACAAGATGGTGAAAATATGCCGGCATAAATAAATGAAGAGAAAAAGTAAAGTGAATTCTATTATTCGGTTTCTCTTACGAGATACCCGATAACTGTCAAGACAGCTGAATGAAAAAAAAAAGAAAAACAAACTAATTCAACTCACCTCTTCGATTTCTCTTATAAAACGGTCGAAAATTATCAGGTTGACAGTGGGCGAAGACGACACTCGCATCTACATCTCATTTTTTTAAAATGAAAAACAAAATCTATTTCGAAAACAATTTAATCGGAAAAACAATATTCCATGAAAATTATTTTTGATTTAAATAGAAATTCGTTTAAATATTCAATTTTAAAGAAACCCATTGAAGAATAATAAAATCGATTAATATATCAATCAGATTCAACAAATATTGACACTTGTTTCAATTCATTAGATTCTGCTCATTTTACAAAGGAACGAACTGAAAATTTTTCTATTTTAATTGAACTTCAAAACATGACTAAAAATTTTTAGTTTTATTATTATTGTTTTTTTATTAGAAAACGAAAGAGATAAAAAAAAAGAAAGAGTTATTTAGATTTACAATGACATTAACAGTGAAGAGTTTTCAGATGAAGACTTGCCTAGTTCAGATATATGATCTAGCAAAAGAAGCAGCTCAGTTAACTATTGATTGGCTTAGATGATTTTATTGAAAAGTTTTAATTAAAAAGAACTTCTTTTTTGTTTGTTCGCGAACAAAAAATTTTCATTTGGAATAAATGAAAATATTTCTCAGCAGACAAAATGCCACAGAAAATTGACGATTTCAATATCTTTTGCTTGGTTTCTGCCATATTTTCAGCTCCTTTCACCCTCAAAAACAGCAGAGAACTTTGAACATGAATATTTTTTGGATGTGTTCTAATTTGGAAGATCTTTTTATGTACCCAAAATATGAGCTAAAATTTAATGAGTTTTTGCGACTGGTTCCATCATAATTAACCGATCGATATTTCCTAAAAGATATCTAGTAAATCCTTCTGATTATTTATCAACATGAGGATGTAGATATAGGTACAGCTGTATTTTACTTTCGACATTATTCAGAAGAACTATTCTTACATTATGTGTTTGAGCTACTCAAGTTGATAGTATAAACGTTACGAGGACAAACCGTTCATTTATTTTGTGGAGCACTGATTACATTCTTAAGCTCATCACTTTTTCTTATTTTTTTTTAAATCTCAAACTAATTCGTCTTCTTGCGGATTCACGTTGCAATGTTCCCTTTTTTTAATCATTATAATGTTTTTATTCGTGATTTTGTACAGTTTGATTAAGATCTTCAGCAATATTATTAAGTAATGGTAATAATGAAGCACAAACCATTTCTTGACTATTTTCGATTACGGAGGGTATGGGTACAGGTTTACATTGAAATAAATCCCCACACTCACACTAACACCCCTTTTTTCTACTGTTTTAGTCAATGAATTTATTCTCACACGAACAAAGATGAAGCAAGACTTTCAAGTCAATTAAATTAACCATTGAATGTCCTTTTCTTTGAAATTCCAGTGAATGCCTTCGGAAAAATTTTTCTAAGTAATTCAAATAAATATTGTGCAGTAGTATCATCGATTTGAAGTCGAATGGGCAATGAATACACTTGAACTAATCGACCGAAGATCGGTCTTACACGCTCGTCGGTCTCATAAAGTTCATTGGCTTGTTCAATAAATTGTATAAGATGATTCTTGTTTATTTGAGCCAATTCCAATCGTATGACGTTCGGTGACAGCAGAAGCCAAACAAGCAATGTCATCGCATCCAATCCATCATCTCCTTTTGTATAGAAATCGAACTCTTTTACTTTCGGCAGAGTTATCATGATTGTTTGTTTGTTAACTATCTGCAATACAAACAGAGGATTTCTAGCAATTAAATATATGCAATCCCATAGAATGTTTATCGTTTGAACACATGCAATACTCTTCCGTTTTTCACCCATGTTAGAAAGAAAATTGATTTTCCTTTCTTTTCGATTAAGACTCATTAATAGGATGATCAAAGAGACTTACCTCTTCAAAAAGTGTCTCTACTGAACTTAATTTCCAATAGTCTAAACATAATTTTTGATTCAATGAGGAAAAGACACGACTGATCAAATGTAACAAATCCATAGTGATTGGTTCTCGATCGCTATTATCAAATGAAACTAATCGAACGTCTTTGAATACAATTGAGGGTGAATTAATATCTTCCTTATTCAAAAGCCACATATCCAATTTCCTAGGAAAATTGATATAGACAGGAGTTTCACACGGCATTGATCCGATGAAGACGCGATCATTGTTAGTGTATAGAACAAGAACTGGCGATCGTCGAACATCAAGCCACCAATCACTTTGAAAATTGAGCAATGTGCTCACCGCATTGATTGTCTGGTCATTATATCGAATGGTAAAACGAAGTTTTTTCAAACGTTTACATTGTTGGAACAATGTCTCTAAGCGATGCATATTCCATGGATGAATCGTTTGAATGG